TTCACATGTACCTATATGCCCCCCCCCTCCCCTCCGCTCGACGGCTCGATTCGATGAGGAAGGACAGAGGGCTGGGGGGTCGTACCAACTCCCAAAAAAGGGGGGTCGTATAGAGTCGACTAAAATCCCCAACCAATGATGTGCCCTGTTCCCACAAGACACAAAGAGAAAGCTGTTCCAGCTCCAAGCAGTTTGGAGCACAAACTTTCGCCAGAAAGCTACGAAGAAGCTCAAGACGTTCTACAACTGCATACTTTTGTTGGGGGAATTCAACATAATTTGCGTCGCGGGGTTTACGCCCATTCCCAGATGTCCCCTTCCTTTACAAGAAATCATCGAAATACAGGAGACAACAAGAGAAGTGTGTTCAGAGATGCGAAACAATGTCGATTTCACAATTCCCTTCAGAAACGAAATCTTGAGATGTCGGTCGGATGAAAAAGGACAGTGACGAGACAGATCCACCATTAGGCACCGAAGCAGGAGCGATTCGAACGAGCATGTGAGAGATTGACGAATTCCAAGGATAATGAGATCATTACCGGCCTTCATGTACACTCATAAATGGCGCCTGGGCGCCGTTGAGGTTCGTCGCGCCGAGGATTGAAAGAATGAATTGGTGCATTCGCTGCCGCGCCACCGAACGCGAATAACAGGATGATTCGATTGGGACTGACGAGGTGATTGATATTGATGACGACGACCTCACGGCTAACTACGAACACGTGGTCAGCCATGATTGTCAATCTGATTATCGTGCTCGTAAGTTGCTCGGATTCCAGCGTGGGTAAGCCCAAATTGCCTTGGTCCCACCCCTCATCGTCGGCCTATGAAGGGTGGCGAACGCACGTATTTATCCTGCTCAAAGGCAAAACCTGCAATTGTATAATGTGGGTAGTCGCTAAATGTCTCTCCAGGGAAGGAAAAAAGCAAAAAAGGATCATGGAGAACACACTAAGTAGGGACCTGGTAGCCCCTCTGGACGTTCACCGAAACTGCTCGTTTTATTCCAGCGATACGCCATCCTGCCCCCTCTAGCTCAGTAATAGTTTCTCCGCGTCTTACAATTTTAATAACATCTAACAGTGAAAAAAAAGAAAAGAAAGGTGTAAAAACTTAACTTGTGAATATAATAGCCTTCGAGTTTGGTGGGCGGTCCAACTAAGAGGGCATCAAAACTGCCATTTATGAAGGCCAGAGCGTCTTCGTTACTCACTGTGAATCCGTGAAAGTGGGATAATCGTGGAGTGAGGCCCAGACTACGCAAAAGGACGACCCGAAATTGCTTGGCCGCGGGGACTGTCTTGAAAATTGCCAATAACTAGACTGCTCCCAGTCCCAGTAAGTCCCAATTGATATGGCGCAGTTGGCTTACTGGTCGTACAGTTGTCCTAGATGACAAGAGCACATACTTCTACATTGGCTGCACTCCAAAGATCTTTGCAAGGGCCAAATTGCATTAAAATACTTTTTTATAGAAAAATGCGTGGTGTATCCTAAACATTGCGAGACGGCGCAGTTCTGCTTGGAGGGGCACAAAATGGTACTCAGTGAAGCTTGTACAGGCCACATTGTGGAAAGCTGCTTAATTCTACGACTAAAGCGACACTTTAACGATCTCGCAGCTTTCAGGACTTCACAGGTGCTTACGGAAGTAAACCTGTTTGATAATATGAACTTACAAAAGGACTAGCAAAAGTACGAAAGCCCCCCCCCAAGCCGAACAGCACCTTAAGACCTAAACCTTTCGCTAGAAACGTTGATGAGGGAGTAGAGTCTGAAACTTGCGCAAAACTGAGATTACTCTAGTAAGGATGGCATGACTGTACTTGAAAGTGGTTCACCTACTTGGGGGCTCTTTTCCCCTTTACGCTTAGGCCCATGTTATCTTTTTTTGCGGTGAGCTCAGTTTTTGCACAAAAATCTTTTTCTCTTCAATCCTCCCCCTTTTGAGATTACTAGATCAAGGAAAACTTCAGAAGAAACTGACTTGTCGTTGAATCTACTCCACCGCATATTCAGCTTGCTCAGCTCGTGACTAAGAGTATGAGCTTCATCACGTGTGTATGTGTCCAGCATTGCATTTCCCTGGAAGAAGCAAGCTATTAGTTTTCAAAGCCTGATCAAAGAACTTCTGCACATTCACTTTGAACAGTATCGCTATTGGAGGCAAGAAGCACCGCTGCGTGCCAGGAGGTCTAATGGCGGAAGTGACGTTGCCAAGGGTGTCAGCATTCACAACAGGAACGGTTTTTGTTTGACGTCAAAGCTAGAATTACACGTGCGCATCAAGCTTAATTTTGGCATCGCGATGACTGATCAGACCCCTGACCCGACCAGAATTTACGGCCGGAGGGATTTAGCATGGGCTAATAAAACGCGCTGACCGCCTAGATCAGATAAGACTCGTCTATTTCCAGGAAGAATTCTCATGACTGAACTTACAATCGAGGGCGTTCTTCGCTTTGAAGGCAGTGGGCACGATGGCTAAAGGTGGGCGGTTGCCGTCAACGCCATTGGTGGAAAAGGAGAGGGGTGTGGTCCAATGCCATCTCACAGCTCTTCCGCCAATGACGGTGGAAGCAACCGCCCACCTTCAGCAATCGTGCTCACTCCTCTGAACGACTCGTTGTGCAAGACTGCATAATGGAGATGAGGAATTTTGCCTATGCTCGGGAGAGACGGAGTTGCGGGGTGGGCGAACCAGGTTCCCTGGGTAAAAGAGGACTTCGCGGTACATTAAGCCCACTTTGACAGCAAAAGGGGTCTTTCAGCACAAGGAGGGAGATTTGGTGCTTATTGAGTGACGGTATCTCTACGTACATAGATTTTGGAGCGATGCCAGCCTATTTCCATCAATCGCTGCCTGCCCGTACAACGACTGGTAGTAACGAGCTGGCACCGTGCCAAAACGTAAGTACGCACCGATTGCGACTGCATTGGCACACCAAATACAGAAATGCTCACTGAAATCGAGTCAAAGGCTATAGTTTTTCCGTAATTTCAACAAGAATAAATCTCGCGAGGTATTCTGGAACGACGGACTGTGAAAAGAGCATTGAGACGGATGCGTGAGAAAAGAGTTACAAAGTGGCGAAAATTTTGATAGATCCATTGCTAAGTGGGCGGAGGCGCCGGGGCGGAGTCAAGTGCACTATTAGGTCAAGTGTATTCAAGGGTCTATTTGTGTAATAGATGAAAGGTGTGAAAAACTAGTGTAACGTCTATACATAGCGTATAATGTGTTTGATGTAGAGTGATTGTGTCGCGGCAGAGGGGCGGAGTTGTCTGGAGCGCGGCATGTAATGGGGTCCACGACTGCAGTATACAGGGGGGGGGCAAAAAAAGTCACTTTCCTTCATTGACTTTCGAGGCGCTATAAGTTACACTTTATTAAATTCTGATCGGACATTTTTACCACCATATTAAATACTATCATGACACTCCGCCACAGCCTTCTGGACGAGCGCCATCGAGAGATTCTGGCACGCGACCGCGATGTGGTGCCTGAGATCAGCGAGATAGTCGATTTCTCCGCCCACCGTAGACCACCCCGTTGAATTCCGCCCGAACCGGGTAATTGAGGGGATTCAGGTCAGGTGACCTACTTAGATATTCCACCGTCTTTAGGTATTCAGCCCCCTTCCATTCCAAGTAGGCGAGAGTTTTCCAATGCCCTTCGATTCCATGTGGTGGCACCCAATGCTGTAGCAGTACAAAGTTTCCAAGAAGGTACGGGCGACGACATGTGAGGAGGATATTCTTCACGTTGCTCAATGTAACCGCCAGCGCTCACCTTCAGTCCGGGGTCCACGAAGAAATATTCACCCGAAGCCTTGGCGACTGTGGTGAAGATGATGTCCTAGACCGGCGACGTTGTCGGAGCTGCTCGATGTTGGAGATCTTCCAGTTCGAGAGTACTGGTCTCCAGGTATTATCCAACTGGGCTCTCATACTAGAAGTTTTGCAGCTGTTTGAAGGTGACATGAATTCCAAAGGTCTTCTCCAGTCAGGCTGCGACTGGAGATGACTTCATATTTTGGTGTACATGAAGGTGATGGGCGAGAGCCAGCTCCTGCTTATAGAGGAACATCTTGGGTATCTTCCGCCCTGGTACTCGTATCCACGTCCTCTGTCTGGGCAGCGAAAACTTTGCTGATATGTGACTCGAAGTGACTTTTTTGCCCCCCCCCCCCTGTATGTGCTGTGGGCGCTTCGCGCAAGAAGGCCGCTTTGCGGAAGAACCCTGAAAAGTCCTTCAGAAACGATGTCGAGAATACTTTTACAAACCTAAATCTCTGTGAATCCATCCTCTTGATAACTCCAGCCTTTTGTAAAGGTCCTTGATCAGTAAAGGGACTCTGGAATGGTTCTCACCTTAGCGTTCACGTCCTTGATTGCGGCTTTTTTCTCTTCGAGTTCACCAATGAGACCCTCAATGGCCTTCAGTTCGTCCTGCACTGCCTCATCGGTCGTTTCTTCGGAACGCTTGTTACCTGAAAGGGCAAAGGCATCACTCTCTTCCAATGGTTTCGATTATTTTTCTTCGATGGGAAAGGAAGGCTAGTTGGTCCTTCGGTCAGAGTACGAGGTGTACTAACAAGGGTCAAATTGGACCCTTTCGAAGGGGTTACCATGTCCGTAAGTCGATTGGTTTTTTCTAAAAACTGGGGGGCATGAGGTAGCTGATAAGTGGTAGGTGATTGAAAATCTCGAGACTGAAGGGGTTGCCCTCGAGGCTTCAATGGTGCTCAATAGTCAATTTTCTCTACCGCCTTCCTGAGATGCCTTCCTTTCCAGGGGACATCATCACACTGCGTAAAATTTATCCAAGTTATGATCCCCCCCTCCCAGATTTCTTCCTTCGGTGTAATGGTGTGACCCCCTATTCCCTTTTCACAGCCTAAAAGCCAGATGACCTAATTTTCCAAACTTTTGCAGCCAAGCGGGGAACGGGTAGTGGACATCTCCGAAACACTACCAGAAATAGCTTTTCACACCGGGGACCAGGAGGAGGGTGTTATCCAGCGCAAATAAAACGAGAAACGCTCCCCTCCGTGGCTATCATAACAGTGGAGCGCGACCGCAACAGCAGAGCGACGACGCGCGTCATGGTGAAGTATGAACGCTCCTCAAAACCGTGTCCGACTAGAGTGATCAGCCTGATTCTGGTTAGG